TCCCAGCTTCTTCATCAAGCAAACACAGAGAAGTGTCATCCTTGTTCTCATAGCAAAGCTATGAAAGCAAACAGAACAGTTTGGTGAAAGGAAGGTTTTCATGTTTTAAGGGGGGGAAAAGCTTTTTATGCAAAATAGACAGGTACAAAATCTGAGGTATTTGGAATATTTTAGATAGAGTTCATGAGAGTTTTGCCAGGCAGCAGACCCGTGGTTCATGCTCCTAATTCTAACTACTCTGGAGGCTGAGATCTGAGGGTTGAAGACAGAACATTCATGAAACTCTTCTCTCCAAGAAACTACTAGAAAAGCTAAAAATGAAACTGTGGCTCAAGTGGTAGAGCACTAGTCTTTAGCAAAAAGAAGTTCAGGGACAGGGCCCAGGCCTTAAATTCAAGCACTTGACCAGTACACACACACACACACACACACACACACACACACACACACACACACACACTTTTTTTTTCCAAAAGTTAGGAACAGATTGGTTAGAACACATAAAGAGATCTTGTTGAGTCCAAAGAAGTCAATAATAATATTCATTAAGAACAATTAGCTTAAATTCTAGGGGCATTAAAACTGAGGAGATTTGAATGTCCTCCCTAGCCCCCCTTAATTTGGACAAAGAAAATAGAAAACTGGAGGCTATGTATTTGGGTGATCTACCAATGAGCAAAATTGACCTTTAAAGGGTATTTCCTTTTGAGCATTGACAGTGACCTGAGACCCTCATTGCCTAGGTTAATAGTCCAGCATCCAGTGCTCTGCTCTCAGCATTCAAGCATGATGTTTGCTGTTTCACTTTGCAAATGAATAAACACAAAGTCAAGGGTCAAACTATATTCACAGATAATGAAGAGATGAAGCAGAGACACCATGCACATAGAGAACATTGGTAGTATTTCAAGAGTTGAGAAATGGGGCCAGGGAAAAGTTATCTTTTGTTCTGGCCCATTCTTCTTTCTAACACTTCTAACCAGTGAAGAAAAGGAATGTTCTTTTGGACTTTCACGAAACACAGTACACTATTTTTTGGAGGGGGAGGCTTTTAGAGGCAGAATCTTATTTTGTAGCCAACCCTATCTTTGAACTTGTGATTCTCTTGCTTCTCCTTCTTGAGTGCTGGGATTACAGGCATGTACCACCTTGCTCAATTATCAAAGTCCAAAGTCCAAAATTTTCAACTTTTTCCTCTGTCTTATATTAAAATTTTAACTCAAAAATCCTCCCAAACAGTGAAAATACATTATTACAACCCATTCAGAAAATGTATTTCATTTTTCTCACGGAAGCAAAAAAGAAATATGGTTGAGTCTATGCATGCTTGGATTGTATGTATGGGAAGTAATACTGAGAATTCCAGGTCTTCTACTCTGATGCAAGCTACGTCATCAGCCCAATATGAGGTTTTACAATTATGGCATCCAGAAGGAATAATAATTTCTTTCATCCAGATCCTTGTACTTTCTGTATTTTCATAGGTAGGATGATTTATTCAATGACATTTACTGTTTCCCCTGTGTTGTGTAAGCACTGCAAACCCAAAGACAAATGAGATGTTTCCTGGCCTAAAAGATCTTAGAAGCAGACATGAATGTCATCACATTTGACACAGAATGAGTGGCATGTGTTGGCACTGGGAGTGATTCGTCTACTCACTTATGTGAGGATGGAGAGAAATGGTGAGGTAGAACTCAGGAGGGGAACAGGTGTCAAAGATGAAGAATCAGTAATTAGGGACTTGGAAGTATTTAAGATATCCTATCCACAGCCGTAGCTTTCCTTTAAGTTCGTCCTCAGCTCTCATGTCCTTTCATGTTTAATTGATAATTTTGGACCACCAGGTTATATGTCAATAAAGTGGCTCAAATGGATCAATGTCATAAAAGTGCAAATACCTTGCTGTTATTGTCTGAATTTTATGCAAGTACAAACATTGATGTTTTTAGCTGCCTGATTTTACAACTAGGATCTTACAAGGTCATTTTCTGTACAATTTACTTTGTATTATATTTGGAGTTTATTGTACAGCAAAGTGGGGGAATTTACAGTGTCTATAATAGTGTCAGATTAAAAGTTTTGGATTTTGTTTTCAATCTCACTGTCAAGGCATTGCATTCCTTAGGAATGTGTCCTTTCTCATTTCCTTAACTGAGACATTGATTGGAAGTGACTCTACAGAGAGGGAGATGGCTACTGAAAATGTGCATTTGTGGCATGATTATTTTAAATCAACAGCCAAGGTGAACTTGCTCTGTCAGGGATTTGTGCTTGCATTAGGACAACTCTTAAGTGAAATGTGCTTTTCAGGTGTTGCTGACTGTGGGTGGAATGAATACTAAATAAATTCTCCATTTAACATTATCTGATGAGATCACCAAGCCCACAGTGTCTTCTGTCACCATGCTCTATAGAAAATTGAGATGTACAGAATTCATCAGCACTGACCAAGAGAACCTGACCAGAACAGCATCATTCAGTGTAACCTGACACATACAGATCTCCCACTTAGTGAAAGTGAAGTAGTTAAAGGAAATATAGCTGTGTATGTGTATTTGGTAGGCTTATTGGAAATTGATGATTCAATATAAATATGTAGAATGTGGTCTCTATATATACATGTATATATATATACATATATGAATTTTACCCATCTATCAGAAATAGTAATATAATGCTATTTGCAGGGAAATTGATGGACCTAGAAAATAATACATTTAGTGAAGTAAGTCAGGCTTAAAGGGACAAAATGGCATATATTCTTTCTCCAATGTGGAACACAAACATACATAAACTCAAGGTTGTATAAATAATATACAGAAACAAATTAATCAAAGGATGCTATAGCCTAATGGTGTAACTCCTCTAAACAGCTAAAGAGCCATTTAACAAAAGAGTACAGGGAAGCTGACACTTGTTTTGTTTTGTTGGGGAGTGAGGGAAGAAGAGAAGGCGAGGAGGTGCACAAATGGAGGGAGGAAGGATGAGTAAACAGACTTCATATTCAAAGAATATGCATAGGTAGCAAAGATATGATAGGTAGGATGGAGAAGAAAAATGGAAAGAGAAAAATGGAAAGAGAGACACTGATAATTTATACTCCTATCTGACTTGTGGAACTGAAACCCCTTTGTACAACGACTTAAAATATATATGTATATATTATATGTATATTTAAGAAATATAATTAATATTTTAGAAATATATAATGTATATTTATGAAATATATTTAATATATAATATATTTAAGAAATATATCATGAATATTTAAGAAAAAATGCATATACCTACCTCTGTATTATTCTAGCATATGAAGCTTGCTTTCCACTATACTCAATAAATAACTCTACATAATAGGAACTAATCCCACAGAACCAAATCTGAACCTGGGCTTTCTGCCTCCAGCGTGTCTGAGTTAGCATTGTGCTATGCATCGCAGGCTCCAAGGCTCAGACCACAGTGCTTTCCCCAGGGTAGAATTCTCACTGAAAGCTGAACAGAAAGAATGAACTGAGTAGCATATTTGTCAATGCTTGCTGTTCCTGTCAGAAATTTTAAAAACAGAAAACAACCATTTCCACATTCAGAGTAACATAAGGAATTAATTTACTACTCTCTTCCACTGTTGTAATCTGACTCCCAATCAGCTATGTCTACATGTTAACACAGATAATTTCAACCCCATTGTTTTGTTTACCCCCAATGTACAGGTAACATTAAAATGGGAAAATACAATTATATCTCTGATAATCTTCTTTAAAATCATACAGAAAGCAGAATAAAGTATGATGAGTTACACTTATTTAAAGAAACACAATGTTGTTCTATTTTGATTCAAGGGTGTTAAACTTTGTAGTGTTAGCATTCATTTATTTTCTTTTAATTATACAATTACTATATGCCTTTTCCTTAGTAACATGGAAAAACATCCCTACTGCCAAGTTCTGATGATCTGTTCTAGAGTCATAATGTGTAGTCTCATTAGGTTTCTGTTTCAGCTGGGATGTTTATGAAGTCAGTGTTTATTTTGGGGGAATTTTGCTTGCACATTTTAAAGATACAGTTACAATTTTCCTTAGACAACTTGCACCAATATTTACCCTTCATTATCATAGCAACAAAAGTTTTACACTTTGCCATCTTACGCAAATCTGATAAGATATAGTCTGTTCTTCCAAAATAAATTAAAAGAACACCTGCTGTATGTTTTCTCACTAAATATTTTTTGTTCCTCATTTTTAAGAGTATGTTGATCTCAAGAAAGTCTGTGAATAAATGAGCTACGTTTTTATGCTTATTTAAAACATTGACTTGCACTTCAAGTTAAAGTTCCTCAAAAGGTTTTTCTGTTTTGTGAGAGTTTGAGCAAATATAAATAGCTATTTATGATATATAACAGTGTTTGTAAGAAAATGGTATGGGCTTCATATCTTTAACTGCCTTTTCCTCTGCATCCACATGAAGTCTTAAATTTAAACATGAGAACACACTTGATGCCTTTAGGTTCTTGTCTAGTTGAATAGATCCCTCAGAAAAAATGCAACGAAGAAGCAACTTTCCAAAGCTATTTTCATTCTGATACATGCAGGAAATGGATAATGAAGAAAACAATATAAAAGAGAACACAAAGATTCAGAGGAGTGGTTAGCCAAATCCAATGTCCTCATTAATAGTGCTTTGTGGTCTGACCACATCCTTGTGTGTTCCACAGTGCTGGCCATGATTAGACATTTGACATGAGAAAAATAAAGCAGCACAAGCACTAATGACAAAGTAATTTATATCACAGCATATTTCAACCTTTCAGCTTGTAGTTTAAATTCTAAATATTCATAAGCCTTAGGTTATCTAACTTTTCCTGTGTAAGGAGGTTTTTTTTTTTTTAAATATATGTATCCTAAAAGATCCCTTCTTTCACACTAATCCAGGTTGACAATCATGAAGAGACAAAGACTGGTATTTCACCATATGAACCATGTTCATTTTTTTTTCCGCAGCTGCAAACGTTTTTTGAGACATTCCTGAAGGCCAGTTCGCCACTGCAGGCATTTGATAATATGAAGGAGGCAATTAGCAAACTGCTGCTGGCAGCTGAAGCAGTCAGTGAACCCTCTAATCTGGGACCAAAGACCTTCCAAAGGTAAAAATCAATTTTACTTAACCATATTCTAAGCCGGGCACTGGTGGCTCACGCCTGTAATCCTAGCAACTCAGGAGGCTGAGATCTGAGGATCGCAGTTCAAAGCCACCCCGAGCAGCAAAGTTCCTGTGACTCTTATCTCCAATTAACCACCAGAAAACTGGAAGTGGTGCTGTGGCTCAAGTTGTGGAGCGCTGGCCTTGAGCTGAAGAGCTGAGGGACAGTGCCCAGGCCCAGAGTTCAAGCCCCACAACCAACATATATATAATATATATATATATATATATATATATGTTAAAACATATTAACAAATAACTCAATTATCACAGGTTTTTGGAAAATTTTGTCTCTATGTAAATATGATCTTCTAAATATATAGCACCTAAGTTATAAATCCTAAGACTAGAGCATGTAACACTTTTAGTGTCCAAATAGTGGTGACAAGCAATACAAAAGTTTTCAGAGTTAATTTTTAGATTTAAATTTCCTTTCATGTTCAGCTAATGTGATCATAGGTACTGTTTTTGCTATGTATAATTTTACCTATACATAATAAATTTTGTTTTCAATTATATCAATGACTTCAAAACACAATGAAGGAAACATAAACCTTTCTTAACCACATTCAATAACTTGTAGCCTCCTATCTCAGCTTATTTGCCTATAATTTATTGCCTTTGTTCTAAGGAAGTGTTCCATCTACTCTTTCAAAGAAAGAAGTGCCTTAATTTATTACACTTATTATTATACTTTATATGTCAAAAGGGATCTATCATGTAGCAGTAGAAGAGTTTTCTTCTCCACGCTTAAATTTTCCTAGACTAACTTCATTGATAGTTCAATATGTTAGAAATAACTTAGATAAATTTGTATTTTCTGTGAGAAATGAAACAGATTCCCAACCTAAGAACGAATTACAAGTTATTTTCAATTATCCAAGCTACCACTTTCTAAAAAAATCAGTACAGACATTGAAATTGAACTATGACAATTATCAACAATGTAACAATATAACACATATAACAATATAACATCATAGAATAGTGTAGCAAAGAGAATGTATTTTCATGTTCCCTTGTGTTTTTCATTTCAGATGTAGATTATGTTTTCAGCTCTTAACTTTTGATATTGGTTACAGCAGTTTCAGGTACCCTACAGTTCTTCAGGTGAGTATGCCAGCGGTCTCCTGAGTAATGTGGAGGGAGGTCAGGAAGAAGGGGATGAGAGATATAGAGGGGAGAGAGAGGGGGGAGAGGGAGAGACAGACAGACTTTCACTTAGTTTAAGCAATGGATAAATAGAAACCTTCACTAACACCATTAAAATCTTCTCTGCATTCTGGTGCAGGGGACTCATTAATACGTGAGGAATCTCTGGGTTCCAACCCTTACTGCATGTACCATACAATGAACAGGAATTGTCTGTTGTTTAATCATTATGTATGCGGTAAATATGATACGAAACAAAGCAGATATTAAGGGAGAAAAGCAATGCAGTTAATAAATTTTCGATTATCCAGGGTGCTTAAATGGTCTTATGAGAAAGGTAACTGCTTTCTTTACATTGTAAACATTGCATTTTAAATTGGTTTATGCTTTAAGTTCTAAAAAGAAAATAACTTGGTGTCAGGGTGTCTCATGCCTGTAACCCTAGCTCCTCAGGAGGTTGAGATCTAAGGATTGTGGTTCGAAACCAGCTGGGGCAGGAAAGTCCTCTTGAGACTCTTAACTCCAATTAAGTACTCAAAAACCTGAAGTGGTGCTGTGGTTCAAGTGGTAGAGTGCTAGCATGCTAGGAGACCCTGGCTTCCATCCCCAGCCCTGCATAAAAATTAAATATAAAATTTTATGTTTATTTTCAATGCTTTTCTAGTGAAATTTGAAGATATGTCTATACCCTTAGATTCTCATTCTTCCTTGAATTATAAAAGTTGTTTTGGATCTCCTCTCTCAGTATGTTTTCTCCTATGATAAGTTTCCATGCTCATGACATAATGAAAGAAATATTTAATTAGTACACAACAAGCTTTACTTTGGATTCCTGAGTAGGAAGAAAAGTAGAGGGATACCATAAAGTTATGAGTAGCCAAAATGCAGCTTAACATAACATGAGCCTTCAAATTGTAATACAGAGAAAGAAGTCATAGAAATTTAGTTCAATAGCTTTAATATTTATCTATAAATTTTCAGATTTATGATATGACCATTTTACTGGTCATTTATTCATTATTTTGCACACATAATAGTATTGTGCTTTCACAAATGGATATTTGAACCAATATGTTTGCTATTACTCAAGAACAAATTATTCTATTGTAAATGTTGCCATGATAAACTAATATGATTCAGTATTAAGATTCATGCATTAAAGAATTGTATTTTTCAAGGAATATTACTTCCATTTATAAAACTGTTGACCTCCAAAAAGACCACTAGATGTCAGTTCTGATCTACAATCCAACAGGAAATACATTATGTCTCAGAAGTAATACCACTGTATTTGATACCACTTGAACATAGTTGCTATGCTTTTTTATTCTTTCAAAGGTACATGAATATTTACATTTTCAAGATGGTGACAATATGAATTTTGAGGACCAATATATTGAAGAATTCCTTTTAAAAGATACTTTCAATTTTCTTTTCTCCAATGATTCTACACCTTTCATATTTTCTGAGATATTTCAAAAACTTTATAGATCAGGTGTATTTAAGGTAAGTGTCTGTTTTTGAACTGAAAAATACCTCTTCAAGTCATTATGTGGAATGTTATTTTTATGGTTCAAACAATTTGATCATGTATTTGAAATTATTATTATTTTATATAATACCTCTTATTTTTTCTGACTTAAGGACCAACATTATTTTGAAATTGTGCAAAAGAATTGCTGGAATAAAAATATTTATTGAAAATGAAGTGAAGCAGCTCATAGTTCTGAAAGAATGCTTTTGGATATTACAATTAACACATATTATACATTAAATGCTTTAAAAGAAATGTTAGAAGATTTTGAAGGTAGCATAGAAAAATTGAGAGTACTCAGGATTGACAACAGTTTATATGATATAATAACAGAGAGTATTTAAAACACTCATAACTGTTCACATGTTTGGCTAGATGCTGATATTTAGGATGTGGTGTTTTAGAAGCACAGTCTTCTTGATACATTAAAAAAAATATTCTAGAGCCAAGTACCAGTAATCCTAACTACTCAGGAAGCTGAGATGTGAGGATCATGGTTCAAAGTCAGCCCTGGCAACAAAGTCCCTGAGACTTTTTTCTCCAATTAACTACCAAAAAATTAAAAAGAGGCAGAAATGTAGCTGCGGCTCAAGGGTAGAGCTCTAGTCTTGAGCAAAAGATCAGGGACAATATCAAGGCCCCAAGTTCAGGCCCCACACATAAAGACACAGACAATTGTAAAGGTTAACAGCATATTGTTCCTTGCATACTTTTTCTGTTTCAAAACCCGTATTTGCAGAGTTTGGAAGAGTATAAAATGGTATTGATACTTTTACATCAATCACAGTCTTCTCTCTATAGAGTATCCATCCTTCTCTCAGTAATGAGCTGGAAAAGAAATGAATGTAGCAGAGTATGGATTGGCAAGATCTGCTTGCTAGAGTCAATGAAACTCCATAGCAGTTAACACCCCCACCTGGGTGGGTTCCTATGGAGACACACTCATTTAGAGCTCTCTCACCAGTAGATCCCTATAGGCCAGAGGAAACCCACCCTATTTTCCCAAACAGTCTGTCTTCCTGTGCTTACCTCCCTACCCTTTCTTCCAAAGCATTATTGAGCTATTTCACCCAGGTTTACCTTGCAAATTGTGTTTTCTTGTAATCAGATAGAATTGTGACAAGTTAAAATTCCCATGCTTCATGAAAAAATAATTAGCTTAGCTCTTTATAGAGTTCAAAAATAAAGTGGCTTATGAAGTGGAAAGACACTGGATAAAGATGATTTAACTTTTTTTAACAATTATTTTTTTATCTCCCCAACACAGGGTGAAAACTATCAAAAGGAATGTTTATCTTTTGAGGAAATTACCTCAGTTATGACGTTTGTAAAGGAACTTGAAAGTCTGGGACAATTCCAACTGGTAAAACCAGAATGGCATTTTTTACTCCTTTTGCTAGCTGGGTTTATAGTAGATCAGTGACTATCTGCTTTTGACTTCAACTAGACAAAGATATTTCTTTGCAAAATAGCAATCTTTTGTCTACTTTATTCTTCCTTTCAGAGACAGAAATAGTAAAATGAGCAAGACCTTTATTCTTTAGGAGTTTGTCAATAATATGACACGTTGAAGGTAAAATTAAACATGGAATTCTTATAGCTGCCAGAATTGTACCGTTCTCAAGTGAGAAAATATTGTCATTTTGTTCTAAAGAAGTTTGATTTTTTTATCTTTGGGACATTTACATGAAACCAATATTTTCTACTGCTTAAACCTTTTAACTTTGAGTAAAACAAAACATAATGAACATAACAGGATTTTTTGGGGGGGGGTCATGAGGCTTGAACTCTGGGCCTGGGTACTATCCCTCAGCTCTTCAGCTCAAGGCAAGTGCTCTACCACTTGAGCCACAGCACCACTTCCGGTTTTCTGGTGGTTTATTGGAGATGAGAGTCTTAGGGACTTGGCTGCCTGGTTAGCTTTGAACTGTGATCCTCAGATCTCAGCCTCCTTAGTAGCTAGGATTACAGGTGTGAGCCACCAGTGCCCAGCTAACATAACAGGATTTTAAAAAACTGTGTGAATCTTAATTTGTTGTAACTCTAGCAAATAGCAAAGCAGAAAAAAATGTAATAACTATAAACAACTTTTACTATTTTGGACCTTTAAAGTGCATGTTTTGTCTTTTATGTATTTTCTGGAGTCCTGTTGACTTACTGGTCAGGATCAAAGGATAATTTATTACATGTGAAAGCCCATATGCATTTTCACTATGCCCTTGGATAGAATATGTTTTTTTTCACTTTTCACCTAATTTTTTTTAATAAAATGTGATTTAAAGTAGCATTTTAGGTTTATTAACAATTCATTGGGAATCTGATGTTTGATTCAAGCATTTATTTTACTTATTTTTTAAATCTATGTTTATTTCACTACTTTTATGAATTACAACCAGTTTACTAAGTTAATTAAGGAATATTTGGCATTTAATTTTATAATTTAGTCCCACATTATAGAGGGTTTGAATTAAGCTTATTTATCCAAATGTAATTTAATTGATATATCTATCATCACAATTAATTTATGAATAACAAATGGTACATTCATTTAATCTGGCTAATACTATGGAGAGCTAATCAAAGAAACTCACCTTTCATGCATTTATTGTTGAAGATACTGTGAACATCAAGGTTATCTCTTGGCATTAAAAACACTAAGCAATTACTTTTCAGGCACATGGGAAGATCTCATTTTCCTATCTCTCAGAATAGAAACTAGATGTCTATGGATCTCTTTTTGTGAAATGTAATGCCTGTGAGATGTAACATTAATCACCTGTAACACAAAAAGAGTTCACCCTGCATTTCCAGCTGCCTGTCTCCCTGTTACTTTAGCTGTTTGTAGATAACCATTCCAGGAAGGAGAAATCACTCAATGAAGGAAAAGCAAACTCATCTCATTTGAAAATATGATTGTCAGAAAAATTAGTGGCATTTACCTTCGCAGTTGCACAGAAAACTAGTATATGGTACTAGCCAATGGATTTTGAGTCTATCTCTGAGTTTTGAAAATATTTAACTAAATTCCTCATTGGATTGCATTTTCAATTTACTTTTCAACAGCTCTGATGGCATTTTGTGTTTGAAATTTCTTCTCAGCTCTTCCCACCTACCACTCCGGGGACTCAATCTGTGATTCGTGACTTTTATGATACAGAAAGTTCCATGGGAAAACCTGGTTCAGTCCTGGCCCGATACTCGTCACTTTTAAATGTATTTGAACAATTTTGGCTCATGAATAAAAAAGTACAGCTCCATCCACTAGAATGGTAAGATAGCCACAAATGTAGAATTGTGCCATCCAAAAAAAAATCTCTAAAGATTTATTTCAAAAAGCTTTTCCTACATTAAAGAAAACAGAAAAAAGGAAGTACATCCCCAAATCTATGCTCTGAAGAATGAATGACATTAAGGCACTGAAACCTTATTGATGCTAGTGAACTTCAAACATGACAACAAAAATATATCCAACAGATTTTCAGGCCAAGATTTGACTCCACTAGAGAGTAATTTTTAAAATGGAAAGTTTCAATTCAGTTTCTTCCCATGCATTGTGGAAGCATTTGGCAGAAAGAATTAGGTGATTTTTAAAAAAAATATGGATTATCAGTCAGAGTAGAGCCTGATGAGTAAGCATTATATATATATAATATATGTATGTATGTATATATATATATATATATATATATATACACACACACACATATTTGAGGGTCTTGAAGGCATGAACTTAATTTTTGGAAAATCGTATATATGTGTATGCACATATATGTTCTGGTTTTAAGAAGGATTTTAGATCCCCTCTTCCTTCCTAATGAGAGGTAAGACGAAGGGAATGAGAGGCAGATGAGCCAGGTAAGATATTATTGCTCCAAGTAGTTGGCAAAAAATCAGGGCATCCATTCTTTTGTAAGGATGGAATTAAGGGAGCATTTGACTTTTCTACTGCCAGGAAAACAGAATTAAATCTAAGCCTCTGAGGGAGATGAAAGAGTAATGGACATGCCACACTCATTTACATCTCTCGCAGTCCCCCTTGGGAATGACCTCCATTCTATTGGCTAATGTTTCATCTTCTTCTGCTCCAGGAGATGGTGAATATGGTTCAATAAGAATCTCTCTCTCTCTCTCTCTCTCTCTCTCTCTCTCTCAAGAACACAAATAATCACATATACTAAGAGTTCTTTGGCTGTCTCCCAGGATCTGAATTCATTTTCATTGTCACTGCTTTATGAATTTGGCCTTAAATATTACAAATAATAGTCCTGACAGAAGGGATTGTTCATGGGCTTGGATATTATGTTTTAAATAATATAGCTCAAAACCACTTTGTTTTTAGTTTGTACTTAGATAATCCAAGAGTGTCTCATTCATTATTAAGATATGAGAGGAGCACATTTGATTTCCCAAGGATCCTATTTAAGTATTGTTTTTAACTTGGAATAAGTTCCCCTGAGATCTGCAAGCTTTTGAACATTTGTTTCCCACCAAGTTTGCTTAAGCACCACATACGCTGTAAAGTTAAGCAATGCACAGATCAGAAAACCAGAAGATCAGATTACTATGCAAAATGGTAATTTGGTAATAATGGTCAGTATTCAGTATAATTACAAAGGAGCAGAACTTTTTATTTTGATCAGTTCAGACTTGAGTAAAATGTATTAATTATAGTAGGAAAGGTTCTGAGCTTAGTAAAACTGTTTCCTCATCTGTAGCATATGGATGATCCCACCTGTCATACATATTGCCAGTAGAATTATATAAGACAGTTTCCATGAATATCACAGGGAGGCTGGAAATATCATACACTTCTATTTGTGTTTTGCTAGACGATTTCACAGTCACTTTAGCCTGTATATACTATTTTGTAAGAAAAGTAGAACATATTTGAAAGCCTTATCTATTTTAACACTGATCAAAAAGCTATCAGGAGGCTAACTTCAGTAATTTGTGCCTGCAGATGGCAAGTCAGGAGGCAGAGATTGGGATGATGGCAGTTCAAAGCCACCATGGGCAAAAAAGCTAGAGAGACCCTATTTTCACAAATAAGGCAGATAACTGGGGATGTAATTTAGTGCTTGCCCAGCATGTACAAGGTTCTGGGTTTAATTCCATGATCACCAACAAAACAATAAAAAGCAGAATTTGGTTTTGCATTCATGCAATCCCAGTTTAAGCTGGAGGTGTAGGAAGGAGGATCATGGCTTGAAGCTAACCTAAGCAAGTGTGCAAAACTCTATCTGAAAAATAACCAAAAGCAAAGCTGGAGACGTGGTTCATATAAAAATGCTCCTAGAATGCGTCCAACAAAAAAAACCCCAAAGCTCAATTTGAATTAATAACAATAACAATTCACCTACAATATACATCGTCTAAGTGAGGAAAGAGTGGTTCTAGAAAGATAGATTGTTCAAAGATGCAGCTAACACACAGTAAGTTGGGATGAGGACCCTGTCCTTCACCCATGGTCCAGTGCTTTCTTCCAGTACCACAAGCAGTCAAAGAAGTCACTGCTACTCTTCATGATGGTCACCTCCATTTTGTTATGTAACAGTATGTAACAGTTTTACATACTCATATTTACTCAAGGATCTAATGATTTGATCTATCCTTTAAAATAAAGACCATTTGTTTAGAGCAATGAAGTGATGAAAGTCAGGAAAACAATAGTTATAGGTAACAGTTCTGTGTGTGCCCCAAGGCTCACACTTCAGAGGAACTGGAATAAATCTGAGTGGAAGGGAAATCTTAAAACAAGCATTTGTGCACCATCTGCTAATCTAGCAGGAAAGAAAGTTGCATATATACTTTGCTCTAAGGAAAGGTTTTCCAAAAACAAATTTATTCTCAAAACTACCCAAGAAATCACTGCAAGATGGCTTTGTATGCAAAATGTCTCCTTCAATAAGATAGTAATGTTTCCAAAATTCAGTTTATGTGCACCTCAGGTTTGTATTGTTTTTAAGAGATTCTCCTGAAGAATTCTCTTTTCTTGATGGAAATTCTAAGAATTTTATTTTTAATTTGGCTTGGCTCCCAACTGGCTCCCAGTTGGACTTCAACCTAACATAGCTCACTGGGAAAGTATTTTCCTACCATGCTTGATGAACTGGGTTCTATTTCAATATCTCTTAAAAAACAAAAACAGCATCAATCAAAATAGCCATATCTTACACCATCCTTGCTCAATCCATTTTCTCATTTTGTGGGGGGCGGGGAGGGAAACTTTTCTAAAATAAATCGTAGACATCATTACTTTAATTTCTACTTCTGTGTACATAGCAAAGAAAATAAAGACTTTTAAGAGAAACAGCAATAAAAATCATCACACCTTCTGGCATTAGCACTGTATTTAATTTGTCTCATCCTTTATTTCTTGTTTGATGGTTATATTTATATGGTAAAGAAATTGAATGTACCAAATTTATCTTTGTTTTGATACACTATTCTTTACAAGGTCCAGTGCAATAAAAATGTATAGAATGTTCTGTAACACAGAGAATTTTATATAATTCTGTAGTAACCCTACAAGGTAATGCTACAAGGTACATGGTACCATTATCCCCATTTAGGGGAATAAAAAGAAAAAATTCGTATCAGCACATGGAAATCATGTCAGCAGTTGGGAGACCATCATATCCTGTGTTATCTAATATCAGGGGCAGATTTAACGATTTAAAGGCACTCTGCCCAAGCTTTTAGTTAGTTACATAACAGAGAAGATGAAGTGAACACACCAAGATATGACTAACTTTACCACTCACCAGTGATTATCAGAGTTTAAGGATAGAAGCCTTGGCATTTGCTCCTGGCAATCTGGGATATGTTCTCAGAGGTTCTAGGCATTGTTTTGCTTCCAAGCTATGGAACATTTGCCAAAGATACTGATAAGGATGTGTGCTCTTGAATCATTTCTGTTGAATCCAGGCTTCCAGAGGCTGCTACAGAGTTGGACTACAGCATGCCTGTTTGCCCTGGTTCTCTTCAAATGGGCTTCTCTTGATTACAGATGATGGGGAGGTCCACCCACCTTGTTGGAGGCCAAATTGCCAGCTTTGAGGAATGAAATCCAGAGTGATTTTCTGCCTTTATTCAAACAACTATACCCTCTCAGTGTGCTTCATGTAATTTCTATGATTAATTTTCATTTTGTTCACATCATTGATCCAGAGTTGTCTGACGTTGTATTTGCAGGAATTCTTTCACAGAAGATGCGAATATTGAAAAACCACAAGTGCTATTTGATGCAACTGAAAATGAAAAAGGTAAAAGCACTCCCCCCCCCAGTCAGTCCAACATATAAAAATAAGCATTTCCTGGTCAAAATATAAAAAATGTTTAGTTTCATTAGCAATAGAAAATGAAAACTAAGCATGGATCATCTGCAGGCCATTGATGACATTCACCCCATTCATTTGTTCCCTTTATTTTTTTATTCCTGAAAAAGCACTCATCTGAGCTTTGAGTCAAATAACTTTGCTTGAATATTTATTATAGAAGTCAGCTTTACTGATTTTGCTCCCTGATGTAATAAGAGGAAAATAAAAGGTGTGCACTAATGAATTGCTTTTTGAGATAACTAAAACATAAGATAATTAAAAGTTGAATTAACAGTTATTTTAGTAATTTATATTTGTTTTTTTAGCTGAAGTTCCTCAAGTTTTTAATGAAAATAAAGATATACATTGCAACAATGGTGAGTAGAATTTAAAGCATTTCAGCATTCTAAGCTTTCCTGCTTGAAATAGAATTATTTTATCATCATTGGCAATCTTTAGGCTTATAACTTGTTTTAACTGAATTTTGAGAAGTTACCATATTTATGATTGGGTCAATGTATCTGTCAGTTTGCATAATATTTTTCAGTTTTTAGCTCATTTTGTTTGTATCAATGCTGGACTTTTGAGTTTAGGGAATTGCTCTACCACTTGAGCTGTGCCTGCTGCCCTTTTGGCTGTAGTTAGTTTTCCTCTAGGGTCTCATATTTATTCTTTGACCATCTGAACCATGGTTTTCCTATTTATTTTTTGCAAGTAGCTGAAATGACAGGCAAGCACCAACACACTCAGCTTTATTGGTTGGAACTTTTTTCTCTAGACTCGCCTGGACTAGCTAGAATCTTCATTTTCTGAATAACTAGGATTACAGGCATGAACCACCTCTGCCCAGCCATGTCTATGTCCTGTTCTTTTCTGTTCTGCTTTTTTTTTGTGCAGTTTGATCAGTTTGCTTTGATTTAGTATTTTAGTAGAGTGCTTCCCAAATTTATTCCGAGACCTTTGAGGTTCCCAGGCTTTATGTTCAAGGAAAAGTTTGGCACATTGGCTTTGTACATTGATCTTTAAAGAGCTCACCATCCAGAAGTGATTTATTTCTTGTCATGTGGTTATAAGATTCAGAATACTAGAGTTGGAGTAGACTTTTCTTTAAAACAAGTGAGAGAGTTTTTTTCTCAAGTTATAAATATATTTTCTTGAACATCTTATGTTTTTACTAAGACATAGTAAAAGAACAAATGCATTGTATGTGTGTACATACTTAAATTTAAAACTAAGTTTATTCATTCTGAGTAAGGCTAAGTACATTCTCTTTTTTTTTTTTTTTTGGTGGGTTGTGGGGTTTGAACTCTGGGACCTGAATGCTGTCCCTCAGCTCTTCAGCTCAAGGCAAGCTCTCTACATTTTGAGCCACTGTGCCACTTCCAGTTTCCTGAGTGGTTTATTGGAGATAAGAGTCTCACAGACTTTCCTGCCTGGGCTGGCTTTGAACAGCTATCCTCAGATCTCAGCCTCCTGAGTAGCTAGGATTACAGGCGTGAGCCACCGGCACCCAGCTAGTACATTCATTTTATTCCAACATTAATTTTTAGTTTTATTGGAATTGACTTTATTTGTGAAAGATTAATTTTTGAAGCATGTTTTGACAATACATATAGACCTGTAAATTGATAGCAGTAGACATATTTAAATAGAATGAGTATCTGTCTGCTGTGACAAGCCCTAGGTTAAATTTGAAATGGCAAAAAAACCCAAACTTACGTCACTGGGGGCTCCTTCATTCTCGTTTTGAAATAAGAATGGCACTGGTCATCTTTTTTTTCAGTTCCTGGGTAATGAGGTACACATGAAGTGAATATGTTGGATAGCTCTTCAACATTTTCATATTAATAAGTCTAGACCTGGATCTACAAAACTCATCTTCCTCCTTTAATAGTATGATATCAGATTATAAAAATGAACAATGATAGCTAAAAATAGGTGGGGTCATCCTTGAGAGTTTAGGGTGTTCTTATTATTCAATGTGAGTTACGATTATCCCTCAAGAAAGCAATAAACTATTCAATGTCTAAAAGAAATCCACAAAGAGCAACCAAAACTTCACACACAATTTCCCATGTATACTTGCCAAATAAGCAGCCTGCTGCCATAGCCCCTCATGTTGGGTCTCTGTAGATCTAAGGTATGCTGGACTGAGACAAGTGTAGACTTGGCTGGGAAAGATGCCAAGGAAACACCAGGTGTTTGTAGGCAGCGAGTCTGATGATTCACTTAAAGATGATGTCAGAGCCAAATCAACTTGCAAGCAGGAGTCTGTCACGCTGCACCCGTGACACAGGTGGAGAGCTCCTGAAGTCATTTCTTAGAGAAAAAGGAAAAAAAATGCATTTGCTACAATCTTAGCCACGAAAATAATTGCACACTTATTTCACTTCATGTTGGGCGGTGGGTCAGTTTATAATGGGTACACGCCTCATCAACACTGTGACAATAAGGCAAATATTAAAGAAATGTTAAAATTGTACATGGCAGGAAATCAATTCTCAGTGCATTTTTATAACATGTCACCTAGGATTCTGAAGAAAAAGTTATTGCATTGTTATTCATTTAGTGTTTCTTTTTTTAGCACAAAGGCACAGTGCAAGTATTTGTATTCCTTCATGGCTAGGCAATGGTACTCTCCACAACACAGTGCATGCTCCTGCATGCTCCAATCTAGCCTATCTAATGTCATGTTGGCTTCACAGCATCCATTTGGATCAAATCTCATGATTCATAACATCCTATTTTTACTGAGTTTTTCTACTATCCTGGACCTAATAGAATATATTGGAGGGAAGAAGAGAATGCAGCATATTAGAATACTTGTAGAGACTCATATTGTAAGCCTAGTCACTTTGGGTGCTGAGAACCGAAGGATAATGGATTGAGGCCAGCCCAAGTAATGAAGTTCACAAGACCCTCACCCCTCAACCCACAGCTGAGCACAGTGAATATTTGACTATAATCTATCTATATATATCATATATAAATATATAATAATTATATTGTATATATTTATCTCAATGGAAAGCAACAGATAGTAGTGGTGATCTCCTGTCAGGTCAACTACATTGGAAGCCTAAAATAGGCTGATCATTGTCTAGGCACCTGAGTGGGCAGGAAGCAGGACACTATCAAAAAGAAAACAACAACTGGCGAACAAAAGATCTAAAGGTTGGCTTAACAGGAGAGCACCTGCCTAGCAAGTTGGAGGGCTTCAGTTCAAACCCAAGAACTGTAACAATGAAAGAAAGAAAGGAAGGAAGGAAGGAAGGGAAGGAGGGAGGGAGGGAGGGAGGGAGGGAGGGAGGGAAGAAGGGAGGGAAAGGGGAAGAAAGAGAAATAAATGAATGTATTATCTGAATCTGAATCAAAAGCTATGAGCCTCACAGAATGAGTTGTGATAAAGCAGTGCCCATCCTTGATGTATTTTCCCCTCTTCTTTCATAAAAAAATCAGGAGCTAGTATGAATAATAAAATTATAGATATAGCCTATTTTTCTGATTCTATAGAATTTTCTATATTTGTGCTGAAATTTTGTTGGTTATTAAAAGGAACTGATGGAAAAAAGAAAAAAGGAAATTATGAAACAAAAGGGTTGTAGCTGTTTTACTGAAAAATATTTTACTATACTCGTGGGTTATTTATGTATTCTACACATTAACAATGAATACAATTTAACAATGGGTGCTGTATCTGCCAGAAAAGCTATTTTCCTTTTTTCTTTTCCCATGGCGCTACTGCTTTATGCATTACACTATCAGGGAGAAAGATTTGTTTTTTGGTGTCTTTGAGTCAGTGGTATCATGTCATATTCTAGACTCAAATGAGTTTGAGTAGCATGTAGGATATCCTTCTGATACTTCAGCACATTTTTTCCATGTTGAGATTGGCCTGGGAGCGATGGATACCAGGGCGGATGCTTCTATCTGAGTGTTTGGTGTATTCCTGGAGTCACATTCATTATTCCACCCTGCTGCTTGTGTATCAACCGAATAGCACTTTAGTGACACTTCCCTGGAAGACATTTTCCTTCCTCATTGCCTGCTGGTTTCCTACTGGCACCACCCTGAAGAGTCATTGCACCCATTCACCCAGTTTGATGTTTGCCACAAATATTGTGAACATGTTATCAACCCACAGGAGAGACATTGCCTTTTAACTTTCAAGGGCTGAGGGAAAAAAGTACTGTATAAAACTAGCTAAAGTCAATGGCTGGTACATGGTAGATCTAGAAAATTGAAAATCCAGCTGAAGCCACACACCCTCTCTAACCAGGTGCTGAGTGGACAGTGATCACTGAAACAGTTGAAGAAATTAAAGCCAGGTGCCATTGGCTCACACCGGTAATTATCGCTACTCAGGCAGCTGGGAGCTGGAGGATTATGGCTCTCAGTTAATCAGGGCAGAAATGTTGAGACTTCATCTCCAAAATAACCAGAAAAACAATTTTTTTAATTGGCTGTGCGGTTCAAGTGGTAGGACATCACTCACGGGCAAGCAAGTTGAGCCAATGGGAGGACCTAAATTCAAGTCCCAGAAATAATTATCCAAAAAAAGATCTCACCATTTTTTATTTAAGTGTTTTCTTAATGTGTATTATTGTAAAGGTACTGTACAGAGGGGTTACAGTTACATGAGTAAGGTAATGAGTACATTTCCTATCGAGCATTGTTACTACCCCCTCCTTTGTTTTTTCCCTACCAGCCCTTACCTCTCCACCTCCCCAACTCCTCTCTCCCCACCGCTGCCCCCCCCCCCGGAAGTTGTAAAGTTCGTTTTTTTAGCATAGTGTCTTGTGCATCTCATTGTTACAATGGGTCAACCTGTATCCTTCCGTCAGCGTTTTGTTATTTCCCTCCCCCTCTCCAAATTAGAAAAAATGTATATATAAGATGCAAGAGAGATCGAACAATTTTATAGTTGTCTTTGTCATTCTCTTGTATTTCTTAACAGATAAACACACGTTGTGTCATCTCAAGCAGATCTACACACACCCGCGCTTGGAACTAAACCCTGAATTTAATTCGAAGATCAGAGATTATTACGCTGAGGTGCCATTTGATGTGGTGACGGTGACCATCCGCGCAGAAGCTTCTGACTGCCAGTGCAGTGTGCACCTGCAAGAGCGAACAGGCCCAAGGTACAGGCTGGGGATGAACTGAGACCTCGAAGTGGAGAGCTGACTTGTGACCCAACCTTTAAAAATGGCTCAGGAATAGGTGAACTACATGGTCACTTGGAGACTTGCCAGGGTATGAATCTATCCCCCTTTCAGGCCTAATGTGCTTTTAAAAAGCACAGTTAGGGGTTGGAGATAGGGCCCAGTTGGTAGAGCACTAGGCAATGAGCTTAGCATCAGGTACCGAGTTTTAAGTCCTGGTCTCTCCGCCCTCCCTCACTACCCCCTCCCCCAAAGCACATCTATGCCCTACTCAGTTATTCACAATCTGTGACTAATCTTTGTAATGATGTAACAGGAGAGGATCTTGTTATATAACGTATCAGGAGGAACCATTAAGGAGAATTCTGTTTCTTACCATCTTCATGTTCTCAGGTTGTTGGAGTTACTCCTGGACAGTAACCCCAAGCCAACTTCTCTCACATCTAAGAATCATCAGGGGTTCGTTGCTTAAAAATGATAGTGACATGTTTGAAAGTCTTTTTTGACTTTTTGTTTGTAATTCTGAAAGGAGAATAGGACCTTATAACATAAATGCTCACAGCTCCGTGTTGTAGGGAGAGAGGCTCTAGGCATCCCAGATACCTGAGTGTTTAGAAGAAAGAAAAGAAGGTTCAAGCCACAGAAGTAAGGATTCTAACCTTGGTTCTTTGGATTTTGTGGCAGTTTGTTCCCAGTTCTATGTAATAGTCTATTTTCATCATTCTAGTCAATGAGATAATGTGAACCCTGACAATTGGTTATTCGTTCCTTTCCCTTTAGCCAATGGAGGGCAGTACTTGCTCTCCTCAAATCTTTATAGAACAAATTTAATTTTCCTTTCATTGTAGAAATGTTCTGCAGTTGTACAGATCTTATCTATGTTATGCAAGTAGAAGTCGTTTAATAAATCATGATATCTGAGTCATTTGGGCTGAGTTAAATGTACCTCACTCATATTAATTCTGTCTCTATTCATTCCTCTTGTCCGTGTTGGTCCCTAGCTCTGCCAACTACCCTCTGGGATTAGGAATAAACAGAATCTCAGTGATAGTGGTAGATGAATCTCCAGCAGAGGGGGAGACACGGATCACCTATAAACTCACCATCTACAGAGAACATCGCCCAAGTCTGCCTTTCTTTGAGGACTTCACAGCCTGCGGTTTTGTGCAGGTAAGTGAACTTTACATTTGTGCTTGAGTTCAAATGGGAATGATTTGGTAACCCAGGCAAAAAAATGCCAGCTGAAAATTGTTGCAGGAAATCATGTGTTCTCAAATCTCAATGCGGTCTGTACAAGAGCAAGAGTGTGAGGCGGGTATGTGACACCTCATCCTGAATGCTTTTCTTTTTAGTGCCGTGGCCACTCCCTGTACTCCTTGCGTTCAGTAGATTTATTGCGGTTCCTATTTTGACTAAAAGGTCTGAGTACTAACACTTCATTTTGAAATTCATTTCATGTTTCCCTTTTAAACTTTGCTGTTTTCCTTGGATTTGTCCCCAGATCTACTTTTGAGAATTTCAACTACGTTCAATGGAATTCATCTTAAAGAATGAAAAGAAAATTTCCAGGACTTTTTTTGTTTGTTGGTTTAACAGATGGGATACTGAATAAGCAAAATTAAATTTACTTCTGGTAGATGTATTTCCCATTCACTTCTCAAACCTTAATCATATCTCAAGACTGTAGTTTCTCCTTTGAACAGCATATGCCATGTTGGTGGGTAATCTTTGCTAGTTTTGGAATGTCTTTTTTGTGGTTTTTCCCTCTGCTTTTGACTTTTTATTTTAAAGGATTTTATGTGTAATCTTCTACATTTTTTCATATGATATATACCCATACTACAGATGATTGTAGAGAAGTAATAATTGGTATTCCTATAATTTATCTACTGAACAGTAGAATCTCTAAAAGTAAATACACTTGGGTAATATTGAAAGAATGCATGTCATATACTGGGAGCTTTGATGTACAGAATCATTGTTAAATTCTAATTATACTTCGGTGGGTAGATTATACTGTGTTGATTTTGCTATCAATTGGCAATAGTCATTCTCCACCACTACCACTATCTAGGCTTTTCCCAATATATACTTTCCAAATATTTTATAAAGTGTATATCCCTAAGATTTTTTAATATGAGGAATTTTATTTTATTTTTTGCTAAATACTATGAGGCAAAACAGAATTGATACCACACAAAATAACTTTGTTGTCCAGCGCCAGTGGCTCATGCCTGTAATCCTAGCTGCTCAGGAGGCTGAGATATGAGATCACGGTTCAAAGCCAGCCCAGGCAGGAAAGTCTGTGATACTCTTATCAATAATTAACCACGAGAAAACCAGAAGTGATGCTGTGGCTCAAGTGGTAGAGCCTTCACCTTGAGCTGAAGAGCTGAGGGACAGCGCCCAGACCCAGAATCAAGCCCCACGACCGACAAAAAACAAAAACAAACAAACAAAAAACCCAAAAACTTTATAAAATATCACTCACATCCTATTTGATCAGATCGACAGCATCTCTGCATGTTAGGGGTTTTGTAAAACGCTATGCAATATTTCAGTATTTTTACATACACACAGTAAGAAACAGAACTGTTAGGGTTTTCCATGAATTTTACTGCAAAAATAGTGCAAAATACTTAACCTGGTAAGCTTTAACACACTTGTTAAGGACCCAGCTAAGCTGACACATGACAGTAGATGCTCAGTGTCTCAGCATGGAGCTTTCTTCACGTTGTCTTGTCCATGCACAGCGCCCCCTTCAGGTCAGTGTGGTGAGTACAGCCTCCTGGAAGCTCCCAGGCCTCTGGGTGGGCCTGGCTGGTTGGGGTGGAGGTGCGGAGCTGCTGCACAGCAGTGGTACCTTCAGAGTTTTCAATGAGAACTTGTGAAGTCTGAAGTTAAGATGCCGTGACTTTTTCCTTCGAGCTTAGAAGCAAGGGGTATCCACCCTCTGGGGGACATAGAGAAGGAAACGGTGGAAGCATCATGAACAGGATCTGCAAATTACTGTTTGCTGACAAGCATAGTGTCTTCTTCCTCAGCTGTGCAGGGGAAAGTACTCTAAATGAGGGCAACCTTTTGAGCCAGATCTTGCAGTTATTTTTATTTGCTAAGGAAACTCATATTTTTAATTTTTGAATTGTCATTCAATCAAAGGGAATTTCACATTGTCTAAAAGTATAAAGCAAGTAAAAAATCACTTTGAAAGCTATTAATTAATATATTTTAAAGAAGGTAGACTAGAATTTCATGGCCAAAAAGGTTTATGAGACAATGGTTTAGATGAAGTTATTGTTTTTAACGACAGAACCTCTCTGAAGCTTTAGTGTAACAAATTTCAAGGGGCAGTCCATGAAAGGGAGAGTACATAGTGTGTTTCATTTTCCTGCTTATCCGATGTCACTCTAATAAAATAAATATTAATATTTGTTCTGCTGAGAAAATATTGGGCTAGTTTAGAGAAAATTTCAAACTATGCCTCTCTTAATTTTCTGCTTTCCAGTTTCTTCTATTTTGGCTGTTGTGCCATCTCAGTCTTTTTCTGATTTTGACAAACAGATAAGGGAGCCATGAAAAAATGCTAAAACAATGAATAAAAACCGAGATAAAGTTGAATTTATGTAGATGTGGACACATGTTTGTAGGTATATAATTATTTTCAAACCACATATTCTTACCTTTTTGGTGGAGCAATTTCTCTTTCGCACACTGCTGGTTGAACTAGAAAATGGTTAGTGACTTTGGAAAACTTTGACTATTTATTAAAGTTAACTTCATACATATCCTATAGGACTGTAGGATAAACTAGTTATCTACCCATGATGCATGAAGTTGTACATATATCAACAGACACATGTGAAAGACAATCAGATCAGTTTTGCTCGCAATAGCTAAAAGGTAGAATTAATCCAATAAGGAAAATGCTGAGTCTAATACCACATTGTCTACACACTTGATAATAAATTAATCAGTGATACACATATCATGATGAGAATAAAGATTAAATACAATATAAAGATATGTTATATTTCATTTATATGAGGTTTACTTGCCAGCAAAGGTAGTCTATTAGTCTATGATGATAACAATAAGAATGGTAGTTATCATGATGGTATGGGTTACTCTAAGCATGAGGCAACTTTTGAGTAAATGTCTCCAATCTTGACTTTGCCAGTGTTCACATGTAACTGGGTATATAGAATTATGAAACCTTAATTGAATATGTACTTATGATTAGGGCAATTTACTGGATATAAATATATACTATGTAAAATATGCAATATATGGAGATACTTACATATAAACTTCAGCTCAATAAAACTAGAAAGAAATGTTAGTAGGAAGGTATGCATTGTTATCTTCGAAGATATGCTTGCTTCCCTTCTCAAATAGCATATTAATCAGAAACAAGATAATTGCCAGGCATTTACCCTGGAGAACAGATTATGTTAGGAATTTATTACTATAACGAGAAGAAAAATAACAGAAAGTTCTTGTGGGATGAATCTTATAGGTGATTGCAGAAAAGTAATTTAGTCATTTATAAGGAACTTTTACAGGAGGTCTTAATTTAAAGTTTATGTGTGGTCCTAAAATAAGTGGTATATTTTATAACATGGAAAAGTGTCTAATAAGTACAAGTATTCTGAAGGTTTGCCTTTTCAAATTGTCAAATGAGTGAACAGGACAAAAATTGGCATGAATATTATAGTTTGGTTTGGATACTTAAGCTAAGCCAAACAGCCTCACAGACTGGGAAAATCCAACAGCGCAGGTAGCATTTTCTCACCATGTGCTGGAGTGAAAATGCTAATGCAAAGCTCTTTCTCCACTTTCTTTTATGTTTAATCTTATTAGGGTGTTTAGGTTCATTGAAAGCTAATATAGCCCAACAAAGGATCTTATCCAAAGAAACAATGGAGATAAAAATCCCCTGTCAATTCTTGGGTTTTTGAAAATTTCCAAATTAAGCTAATATATAAGCAGTTATATATTATAAAACTTAAAAACATTGAGAATGAGGAAACAGAAGAAACTGTATGAAAGAAAATGTATTCATTACCTGACTCAGGTAATTCTAATCCCTCTGTACATCATCTCTATAATAACAATAAATTAAGTTAAAGAATAATATTTACACACACATACACACACACAAATATTGATGTTCAAATTGTTCTTTGGTTTTTCTGCCTACTGCAACAGTACTCTCACTGTATTCTCAGGATTGAATGATTGCAGATTAAAATGCCAGGTTGTTCTATTTGAATATCTAAAATTTATACATGCAAATCTAAAAGAACAATTAAATGTTTGTGATAGTTGACTTATAGGTAAGGAAGAAAACATTGCAATTTCTCCTTTTAAAGTAGATTTTCATCTAACAGACTATTATGAAATTTCAAATAAACTTTGTTAAGCATTTGTGTTGCTGTAACAAAATTCCTGAAACTGGATCACTATAAAGATTGGAAATGTATTCCTCATAGAATACACTGATCTTGGAAACCCAAGATCAAGGCCCTGGCCTTTGTGTCTGATGAGGCCTTATAAATACATCCGTACTTGGTGGAAGTTTCCAACAGGGAAAAGGGAGAAATGTGTCCCCACAAGGAAGAAGAGCCAAAGAGCAGAATCATGGCCTAACTTGGTTCTCTCCAGACCTTTCATGAGGCACATGATCCCATTCACAGGCTAATCATGTCCCAAGGATCACAGCTCTTGTCATCAGTACAATAAGGATTAAATCTCACCAAATATATTTGTCAGTTGCTAAAATTTTACATTAGTGATTTCCAAGTTTGAACCTAGGGCTTCATCCTTACTAAGCAAATGCGATACCACTTGAGCCATAACACTAGTATGACATTTCAGTGACTAATAAAATAGTTAATTGTTAGGCATTTACATTGTTCATATTTTCAATCATTAAGTACCTGCTTAGCCATAAAAATCTCCTAAAAATTTACTTAATGACTATTACAATTATTATTATAATAATGAAAAATTGGGTATAGTAGCCACAGACAAATTTCAGTTGTTTTGGGTGAGGGAGAAAGAGGTAATTTAACTGATACAAAATTGGAAGCAGGGGGCAGGGGAGGTGGCTCAGTGATAGAGTGCTTGCCTTGCATGAGGTCCTGGGTTCAACTCCTCAGCACCACATA